AAAACCTTCGGAATAGGTGTGGCACACAAACCGACAAAATCACTACAATCAATCTTATGCAAGCCAAAAGATGAAATAACAAAGGAAAACAAATCAAACATCATCTACAAGATAAATTGTGCCAACTGCGAAAAACACTACATCGGACAAAGTGGACGCCCCTTCACCTTCGCCTACATGAACATCAATTAGCAGTCAAACGGCATGATATCTCTTCACTTATATCAATACACGTGGACAACTGCGGACACTCATTCGATTGGAAAAATGTGGAAATCTTAGACAGAGGAAACTCCAAAAACACCAGAGAATTTTTAGAAGCCTGGCACTCAGGTCAATCAGCAATCAACAAGCATATTGAAATCAATCCAATTTATCAACCAATCAGAAAAATCATGCACAAACATAAGAACAAAAATCAAAACAATGGGAGACACAACCGAAACAAAGAAGTAAACCACGACAAATTTAAGGTTAATAAGAACCAATCAACGTCGAGGTGCACAGAACAAGCTTTGAGACACATATGGAGAAATTCAAACACTTCACTTCTATCTGAAGTTTGTGCTGATGATGTCGTTCAGAAGAACGATGAAAGCTTCACGACCAAACCATCCAGCTCAGAGAACATAACTCCACCAAAATAAGTTTCTGATGAATAAAATTATTGGTATGCTGTATTTATTTTACCAGATATGAATTATCCTAATGACTCACATTTTTATTATCAAATTTCTTACAAAAATAAAAAAATATGTCGAACGAATCAAGCTATGATCAAAATCCTTACACAGTTTTGATAGATGCTGATTTCCGAGTGATCCATTATCGAACAATGAGATTCTCAATAAATTTTATGAAAATTTCTCTGAAGAATCAAACCCGGATTTTCAACATCTAGTCGCTTCTAGTGGATTCTTTAGTCAATGCGGCATATACGTTTTAAATAAAGCAACATTATTTGTAACTTGGGAATATGAGGATCCACTATTATTTCTTGGGATAGAATAAAGTCGCGAAATTTGAACTCAGTATCTAAGATCCCAATTTTTCAAAATAGGAAGATGTCGAAAGATCCAGAAAATCCCTCAAACAAAGCCAAAAGAGGCTCTGGAAACGCTGAGAAACGTCCCATTAAATCAGCATCCAACAGACGTTTCATCAGCAACATATAGAAAATAAAAAGTCACAAGTCACATTTCTGATTGTATGGTACCTATACTGATACTATATTTTGTGGCATTCCGGAAATTTTGGGAAGCTCAAATTCATCTAAAATGCTATAAGTACCCTAGATTTTCTGTACATAAACGAAACTTAGGAGTAAGGCGTTTCTTCCATATTTTGCACTTTTTCTCTCGTGTTCTGGTCGCTGTGTAGATTTAGCCCGGGGTTACTATAAGAGTTTAAGAAACGGAATCTAGCATTCAATTAGAAGACTTATTAGATCTTAGTTTTTCACTATTGCATGTTTAGACCTACGGATTTTGATGATGTTGCTACAATGGTTGTCGTGACCCGCATTCATTAGTATGTATGGGTTAGAAGATATAACTCTGTAGTGAACGAACACTCCGGCACGAATAACCAGTTTATTGTTTAATCCACAATTACAGATGGCTACGTAAGATATGTTAACCAGACATTAAATAGGTTATTTGCACCACTTTCAGTTGTCCTTTACATGTTTGATGATTCTTTCAATTCTGTTGTTGTTACAGTTGCTTTCGTTCTGCATTTCTGTTCACTTTAATTGAATCTCCTTGATATTCTGTTAGCAGTCTTCCACTTCCGTTTGGTGTCACATAATACGTATATCTGTTAACATAAATAGCATACATCACAGGTTGTAGAACGTGAAGCATCTTCGCAGTTACTTGTGTGTCAGACCTCAGTGCTTCACATGGTATGTTGCCAGGTCCTTCTGATTTCCCACTCCTGATTTGCATAATGGCCATATTGGTTTGTTAAATCCTTGGTGGAGTGATACCTATAGGATTGTCTGTTTGTGGCGCTTTGATGTTCGGTGGATTCACTGGATCTTGCATATTCAACAGTTCCTCAAAATGTCCTGCTCACCTGTTCTTCTGTTCTTGAATCTCTGTGATTGGTTTGCCTTCTTTGTGATCGACCAGTCAACTCGGTTTACCGTATTTTTCTTTCAGTTTCTATGATGTGTTATACAGTTACTTCACATTTCTTTCTCCGGTAGCTTTTCCTCTGTCGTTACCAGGTCGTCTAAGTTATGCTGATTATCGGCTCTAATGCTCTTCTTCACTTGTTTATTCACTTATATGTATTCAGTTTTTTACCTCAACGTTCTCTGCTCAAAGTATAATGTATTTCTGCCGAAGCAGGTACACACCATTTTTACAGGCGTGATATACAATTCACGACATTAGTTTGCATAAAGTATGCTTCCTAATTAAGGTTGTTAAGTAAACGAAATCAATAAAAATAAAAGATAGTACATTTGGACAGATGTCCCAGAGAGTTAATGACTAGGTTTGTAGTTTAGTATCGCACTGTGAGTGCTGTTTTCATGATCTATCTCAAAAAGGTCGTTGTGTCCACTTTGCAGACCAGGCACAAACTCTGCATAATTGTGTTAGAATTCTGGTCCTGAAAAGTATTTATGCAACACAACTGCTTAAGGAGTTTATAGTTGTTACAAAGTACACATATGTAGTGGCATTGGACCATAACCACACAATCTTCAAAGCTGAACGCAAGACTACTCGGAAAATAGATACCTAACGATGGAAAAGGCGGGAACAATAGAATTGAATGAATTGGAGTCTATCGGATTGCATGGCTCGGCCATGCAGGCGTGGTCCATCTGAATGTTATCTTATTTCTTCTATTCATATTAAATAAATTGTTCCTCCTCTAGCCTAACCTTGTTCTACACCATGTATTGGTAATTGATACGATACAGTGAGTTGGTGTAGTCGATGGTGTGTCTTCCACGTAAGATCTTATAAATTAGGCAGTTATATCATGACAAATCTACAATTTTAGGATTAGGTCTATTATTAGAGCGGTAGTAATATCATAGTAGACCATAGTTCTACACATAAAGGACTCTTCCTATAAGCTCTGACGTTAAAAAAACGCGCACGTTAAGTTCGTTTTGGGCCTCAGAAGCTCCATAACTGTGTATTGAGAGCTTAATGCCGTAAAAGAGAGTAACAAGGGAGCAACAAGACATTTGAATATAAACACTAAGTAATGCTTAACAGTTTTAAATGGAATGGACACAGATATGATATATTAGTAGATAATGTTCATACTAGCTACCGTTGCTACAGGGAAATGTGGATAGAGCCTTGAGATAAGAGAATACAGTAATAAAGGACAATCAGCTGTGTTATACAATAAGATGGAATGGGTTCAAATAATGTAAGAGAAGTCTAAGTTAGAATAAGTACGGCTAGCAATATCGTATTCTTTCTTTAAAAGTTCTTATAGGACCCTATACCCCTACTTCGACGTTAGAGCGATTTAGAGTAAATGATGATGTGATACTGACGTGAGATCTTATGTATTACGAAATCACTTCACGGCGACTTGAACATGCGACATGTTGTATGTACATCAAATATAGAAAAATAACTCATTGCAGATACATAGTGCAAGGCAAGCATGTTTGATTGTTACTTAGGTTTAAATAACTACGTTTTCTCTTGATAAGAAAGATATCATGGAGTGAAAGGCGGTACAATTATGTATATCCGCTCAAACATTTGAGCACATTAATTTGAGTATTAATCCCCTAATGTTATATATGAATGTAGCTGGGCTGCTGCGGACTTCAGATTGAGAAAATATTATGAATACGTATATGCATACATGTATACATAGATATGTGTATGTATTTACCACTCCACGCATATACTAACTTTGACTTCACAAACATTTTCACAACATCTTGTTAACCACACACGTCTGAAGTCATTGTGCAAGACTTCGACCTGTGAAAAATCGCATTAATTTCGACTATTTTTTACCAGGGTAATGTAACACGTTGGCTGGAATAATGGAAAACTGAGAGCGGGTCCAATATATCCGAAAGAAGCCTAGAAGACTTAATATACTTAAATAAGTATTAAGAATTAAATTCGACTGACTTACAGTGCACGTCAGTCATGATATTCCTAAGGGTGTTCATATGCTCGTACTGAGTATAGTTCATCCTCCAACCATCATACTATGAGGCGCTCTTCATGTCTTAAATTTGAGTTCGCGAGTTGTTCAGGTAGAAAGTTTTACCGTCGAAATGACCAAAAATGAGCTCCAAGAAGAATGTAGTTTACATCAACGTAAGAAAAGATGAAGTTCTAATAGTAAATCGCGGTGGATACCACTAGGACATCCTCTATCCTGGGGAAAAGTGGAGTTTACACTAATCTTATGAAGTAAATATATAAAATGAAATAAGATAGTCAAATGATTTGTGATTTTTAACCTTATCGATTGAGCTTATTGATAAGACTGAAGATGGCACAGGTATTCAGTGTTTGACAACGCTTTTACCAGTAACACCTAATATAACTCGTACCCACCAAGAGAAATCAAAAGACAGAATCGAGGAGATCAGAAGTTGTATTTGACGATTGCCAATATATCGGAATTGTCTGACCTAGTCTGGCTGGCGATTGCAGATGTTGAGCACGGCGTTTCCACACGTGATCTAGTGCGGATGCCTGACTGAGCGCCTTCAGCTAGGTGAGTTCACTAAAACTAATCTGGTCAGCATCCAATGTCGAAAACTTACAGAGCTATTTATTTTGGGGATTTATTGACTGCCACAAAACATATATGATTGATCCTAACAAAAGCTTTTGGGAATCCGAAGAATATGATTCCGACCTTCCCTTTGAGATCAGTGATAGTTGTCTATCTGATCATCAACGTCAGGTGATTGGCAAACTGAAGAAATATCTATGCACATAAGTCGAATTTCTGAAAACACGATTATTTGATGCGATGAGAGTAACACTGACAAATTGTATAGGCCGTGATTTGGAATTTGAACGGTCAGATGCTTTGACCTCGGAAAGCAACTTTTGGTACCGCCAGATTTATGAACTGTCTAATGGTGGAGGGTTTACCATCATGAGCTCACAGTCTTCTCTGAATGATATATCGAATGCTATCAGACAAGAGATTATACGATTCGAAAGTGTTCATCCAAATATCTATGCTATATACGACCTTATTGATGCAGTTGAGGATAAAAATTTGGCAGAATCATTGCGTCAGTTAGTTGTGTCAATTGAAGGTACCGTATCATTTATCAATCAAACTTTTCGTCTCTTAGACGCATTCGTCAATAGTCAGGAGTGGACGCTAAGTAACGGCGTTCCAGGCATAAAACTGGTAAGCATATTTCTTCTTATTGCATGATATGTAAGGGGCTTCTTGGTTCTGTTCAAAGTGGGAAGTCCGCCTTGGTACATCGCTATCTCACAGGAGCGTATGTTCATGATGAGTCCCCAGAAGGTGGAAGGTTTAAAAAAGAGCTATCTTTGGACAATCAAAGTCACTTGCTTCTAATTCGTGATGAAGGCGGTCCACCTGATCTTCAGTTTAGTCAATGGGTCGATGGAGTTATATTTGTGTTTAGCCTAGAAAACATCGAAAGTTACCAAGTGGTCTATGACTACTATGCTCGTCTTTCAACTTACAGGAGTACCGCTAGTTTACCCATAATTCTTGTTGGGACTCAAGGTATCAGTAACTCATTGTTCTCACCTTCCTAGATTCGAATTGTGAGCCATATGTGCGTGTGATAGATGATGCACGTGCTCGAAAACTTGCCAATGATCTAAAGCGTTGTGCTTATTATGAGACGTGTGCTGCTTACGGCCTAAACGTTGAACGTGTTTTTCAGGATGGTAATTGAAATTCATACTCATTTCTCCCACAGCATGTCTGAAGATACTTCAATTGCGTGCCTCCGGTAACTCACCTGCCCCGAGACCTGTCACACCCCAAATTTCATCCAATTCACAACAGCGAGCATGTGCTAATAGTCCTATTGAATGTGTACCAATTGTTGGAATAAGTCAATCACAACAGTCTTTGTTTTCGAATGTAGTGAATGCTCGCGAGGGTCCTCTCCTAATGAAAAACCCCGTAAGTATATCAAAATCCAGTATATTTTGGTTTTCTTAAGTTTTTGGTCGACATTCCTTGTATCTCTATTTTCTAGCCACACTTGGCACCCTAAATACTGTGAAGCTATTTGCTCAAAATTAGACGAAAGTCTACATATTCATATTATGTTAAATTTATTAGCTCACTCAATCGACGTTTACTGATATACAACCGTTCATGTATTTAGGGGTATATTCTAAACTACAGTCAAGATGTGTAGCAACGAAAGATAGGAAAAAGCTTGTTGCTTTTGCCTGTGCTTTTTATGTTAATAGATGTATAGGTACGTTGGTCGTTTGTCATTTAGATTAGTCCGTGTAGTCTTTACTATAATAATAATCACGTCGGAATCGGAGGTAACTTTAAATTAAGACTATTTTTTGGTATTATAGGTCACTCATTTAGAAGAGTGTTACTAGGATTTATATTTACGGATAGGTTTCCGTCAAATAAAACTGGTCAAGCTACATTCACGTTAAAATATAGTATTGGAAATACATGTCTTGGTTATTTTGTTGATTTACTGATAAAGTTGTAAACCTAGAGCTTCACTAGAACTTTTTCAACATAATGAAGTAGCCTGTCAATCTAAATTTTTCATGTTGATCTACATAAAATCTCTTTGAATCTAAATCTTTATAGTTCAAACATCTTGTTTCCATCTAGACTTAATTCTCATAATATAAATTGATCATTATTCCTCCATGTGAGATAATAATTAATTATGGATGTAATGTATAATAAGCCAAACTTTATTTCCCTTTATTGTTACCCTACATATCTAAATAAGTTTTGTCTGAAATTAGAGGAGCTGGTATTATCTTAAAAGCAGGAATCATTTATCTTGCTTGTTGTTTTGAGAAATAGTGGTCTTTGTCGTGAACCGTGGCCTCAGTAAATTTTATAATAATGATTGGAAATCATGTGACTGATGCGTCCCATTAATCTTGGGACAACTTGACTTCTAATTACGGCATTCAGTTGGTTCATCATGCAGTTATGGTGTGCAGTGAGTAAGGAGTAGGACTGACAGTTCAATATTTAGTAGCATTTTGTAATCTTTAACAGTATTTAATCTCTAGATTTCGTGTTGTCACGGTAACAGTTTTAAACACTTAGTACCTTAATGCTGATATTTACCTCGGAGTACAAGTTTTAAGGTAGTCGATTTGATTCATTATTTATCACACTTTTTTAGTTAAATCAACAGAAGTTAGTTAGTTGCAGGTGTTGGATAATGTCACTAGCCTTCACCGAAATTTGGCTCAAGGATAAGTAAATAAACCTGTGCTTACGGAGTCACGCTAACAAATTGTTTCATTATAGTCATTTAAAGTTTAATTTTTTCCATCAGTTCGTTTCTTGAAGCATTATTGCGTGCATGGTGAATAGGTTCTAAATTTATGTTAACTTTCAAACTATAGTTTCAAACAATTGTTGATTGTCTTCATTGATCTTAAGTTACTACTTTCTAAAGGTCATAGGCAAAAGTCAGCTTCGAATGTGACTGTATAAAAAAGTATCAGTTAACATCAAGATAGCGTGAAAAGGTAAAATGTCTTTTGTCGTAACTTCAGAGAAATATTTTCCTGTTTACTCATAAAACATGGCAGCTACGATTTGGGTTGACATTGTGAGATCCTTTGAGTTGCGTTTTTATTAGTTATGTTATTTCGTCATATCACACGTTTCTTCAGTTTGGCGTAAACACATCTTGTGTTTATCTGAAATCCAAGTGTTGCCATAAGATACATCTCATTGTGAGTAGTTTTACTTCCTGATCTTTTAAATGAGAAATTCGATTACAGTTGACTGACACCTGACGTTATGCTGATTTTCTTGTAAGTTCTTTTCCAGGTTGTTTTAAAGTTTGCGATCTTAAGTAAAACCAAGTATACGAATGAATTGTAACGAAATTCGTATAAAGTGTAATATATTAAAGAATCGAGAATTAGTAAATCTACTTAAATTTCTAAGTGTGAAACTTAAAGTTCATTATTATGTAAACAATATTTTCATGGGATGCATGTTCGTAGTGGTAGGAAGTCGCAGTGCTTTCCATGATAGTTTTATTTAGTTCTGGCCTATGCTAATTCGGTGTCGAGAGGATGGGGCAAAAGACTGCAGAAAGATTAGTAATAAATAAGTTTTCATGGGTTAATGATTTTCAAGTAAAAGTGAAATGTACTCACCAGTATGATCTAGTATAAAGTTTGTAGCTTGGTTTTTTCCAGTTACTTATTTTGACCATCTTGTGAACTTCAATATGTACCATATTGCCATGGTCTTGCAGGGTTTATGACCTTTCTCTTTTACTTAGCAAAGACAAAATAGTCGTAACGGAAATAACCTTGAGGAAAACGACTTTTTAAAGTGCAAATCCAAACGCTGAGTTAGGAGACCTTGACTCACACCATTTTGAAACTGTATACGACTTTTATTATGACGAGATCTTAATGGCTAACGTTAGCACTTATTCTTCTGACCAACAGTTGTACTTTGTTCTGCGATAATCCATACCATGACATTACCCAAATAATCGAACAGTAATAGAAATATAGTGTCTCCTAATTAAGTTTAATCTTTCCATTTTATTGAGTAACTCCCTCATTATTCGAATGGTACCGTAAACTCCCACGTGACTCATTCATCAGTTCTATCATATTTAAAAAAAATTACTGCCTAATTTCATTGTTGTGTTGTTTAGCATTTAGTCTTTAGGTGAATCCATTAAATGTTCTTTTATCCTCATTTACGTGCACTGTTGCTTATTTATATCAGAGGTTACGGATAACGATTTTATTTAACTTCTCATAGTAATAAGAATTTAAGTATAATAGTCCCTTAGATAACATTGTATCAGGTTAATCATACTGATGCAAATGGTCATTCATTCGCTTACTTTAAATTTTTTAGTGTAGTATTGTAGCATTTTGTACTTGAATTTCAGTCGCTTTTTTCGAGGTATATCGCTCTTGTGTAGTGTTCTACTGGTATAATTACTTAAACTTTATTTTTTGTGTTGTAAATTTATAGATGATAAGTGTGGAAACTTACACCTTTGTTTATGATTAAGAGAACGACGAATATTCCTTAAAAATCATCTGTTCATATGCTATGGTTGTTCAGTGGTTGATATTGTTGAAATATATTTATTAGCAGACGGTATCATATATTAAAAAATGTTTAAGAAATACCTATCGTGTAGCCAAGTTACTATGTTGACTGTCATAAGTGTTCTTTTACTGGGTTTTATAAATTTTAGAAATTATACTAGGATGTTAATTTTGTCACAATAAATTGCAAAAATAGTTTAAGTGTAGATTTCGTCATAGATTGCCTATTATGGGTGGTGTTTTTGTTTTGTTATTAGGATGTCGACTTTTTTGCTAGTGCATAAGTCTATATACAGAGCTTCTAGCGATAATTAAGTTTATTGTTGTTACTAATTTTTATGAACAAAACTAAAAAATGCCCGAAAAACTATGGATATTCTATACCAACAGTATGTGATTATTTTATGTCTAGGAAAGTGAATTGTATGTAAAAATTGTTATAGGTTTTTGTTATTTCTATTGTATTAAACTTTCCCCTGCTCAATAGCTTGGTCATATTTTTATTTTTATTAGTAACGAATGAACCCTTTAGTCTGTTCCTTCTTAGTCACTGAATTAATTGCATATCATTCACTAAAAACAATATGACAGCATCAATCCAAAGTGTACATTTTACCGCGGTTATTAGGTCTAGTTTCTTTGTTTTAATTCCAGGGGGTTAACTGTAATGTAACTAATTCAGTTACAAGTGGTATCGATAGGAAAGAACGACCAGTGTTCCCCAACAATCCTTCGAATCGTCGTCCTGATACTCACAGCAATCCCGGATTCGAACTTGATTTCAATGAAGTAATAACTAAATTGTTTTTTATACCAAACGTACTGTCGAGAAAGTTCTTGAAATGTAACATTTTGCAATTATTTTTCTGTACAACAGTCTTGCGGTATACTTATTTGTACACAAATAAATTATGAAAATGCCATTAATCTTACCAGCCAACGTACATTATAAACAGACGGTGGTTTCCAAACTACTATCACATATTTGTAGTCTCTTCTCACCTGGGCGTTGAACATTGGATTGCTGATACACTTATTAGTATTCAGTAGCAGAAAATTCTCAACCCTAGCTGTAAACATTAATGATGTTTTACAGTCCAGTAATGTGTCGGTAATCACAAAACTCGCAAACTCTTGGTGTAGTTTAAATTAGTGTCCAACGTCCCATTAACATTTATTTCCCCTTTCAAAATCACCAACTTATTTTAGTTTTATTTGAATTTTGGTACCCTTTTTACTAAGTTTTATTGGAGTAGTATTTTATATTTTTGTAATGTAAGTTGTTTATTATAAAATTGTAGCTATAGTACACTATTGGTTATACTAAGAACTTTATTGTCTTATTTTGAAACCAATATATTGCTCCGAATCATTGGTTTTTATATTTCTAATTTACTGGTTACCGGTTTGTGAAAGAAGTTTACTTCGCACAGCCCTACGTGAAGTTTGAATTCAGATCTAGCGATTCTTAACAAGTTTTGTATTAATTGTTAGAACACTTAATACTTTGTTTAAAAACTTTAGGATAAGCTGTGACCATATCACAAATACTCTGTTCTACTATCTCTTAGGATTCTGGTTTACACCAAACTCTTTTGCATCCCACCAAACCTAATCTGCTTAGCATTGCAAAACACTCCTTTACATTGGATTTCCGACCGTCTGAGCGCGATAATTTCTTTGCAGATGTCAAACCTATTCGAGCTAATATTTGTACTACTGATCCAGCCGAAGATTGGGCTACTCATCCATTTCTATTGGACGAAAGACATCAGCATCCTTTATTCCGTTGTCCAGAGTACGTACCAACGGAGTATTCTGAAAGCATATTTCAATCACCTTCTCCTCATGTCTATTCAGAATATAGCGGCAAAATTCCATACCCACCTAGTACTTCGGATAATGGAGTTTCTACACCACAACCTCTCTCTGCACCTGCAGCTTCCGCTATCGGATACTCTCCATTTATTGTTTCCCCAAACTTTCCATCAGGCACGCTTGCTGCTGCCAGTAGTGTATCGTCTATTGGATTAGGGGTTGAAGCAGTAAGTTTTGTGACAAGAAAGGCATGCTCACCTTTGCCCCCTCCTTGCACGTTTATCACTTGGTTCAAGGTAATCAAATTATCTCGAAAGTAACTGCTGTCCCACATTTACTTAATAATTGCTTGCCTCTTTTCTAGCATGATTCAATAATGATTAATCATGTACAGCCTTTTCCAAAGTCGCCTAGACAGATTTAGCTTTGTTATTTTGCACGGTACTATAATAAGTTGTAAATCTGGCTGCCTAAATGTTTTGTTCATTTTTGTCCTCTTAGCAAAGAAATCTGAATATTTTTCTCTTTCTAATCTAGGAAAGTAAGGCTGACAATAATGAATCTCTTACTCCTAGCAGTACCCCAACACATTCACGAAAGAATAGACGAAAATCCAATTTATTTGTAAGCTGATTTTAAACTCCACAAGATTTAAATTCGTTTTTCTATGCCTTTTTGTGGCCATATATATATATATATATATATATATATATATATATATATATATAGAGAGAGAGAGAGAGAGAGAGAGAGAGAGAGAGTAGGTACGTGCTTGTGAAATTTTATATCACTGTTTTTTCCTATTTTCCACACTTAACTTGCTAGCTCCGAACTCATTCAACGTTTATTTTTAAAGAAAACAGTTGTGAATCTACATGCTCTTCACTGGAATTCTCGTAGGATTTTTCAACGATTTCTTTAAAAATGCTTAGTTTTTATTTTGTTTTTCGGGTTTTTACTGTTTCGTTTAGTGAAAAATATGCACATTGGTTTATTCGGGGTTAATGTCTTGTTACCTGATTAGCTGGCGAATGAAAAAAAGATTGTTATAATACAACAACTTTATAATTATATAATCATTTGATTAGTCAAAAGGTGTTTAATTAAGTCTGATTGTTAGCTGACTCTTAGGTATTAGATTAGAAACTTGATTGCATCTCAATAAGTTCATATTCGTGTATTCGTATTTGACCCGTACCTTATGTTTGAGAGCTAGCGATACTGCCAGGCTTTCCAAATGGCGATTATGTGAAGTAGGACTTAAACCTGGGTTGCAGTGGTTGAAAGTCGAACGCCTGTACCACTAAGCCACTATTTGAATATACTGGCTCGTTATATGCAGTATAAGGTTTATTGTTGATCAGTTTTGTACACATCTCAATACCTTTGTACCGCATTTTGGTGTCGTAAATAGAACTGTCAGTTTAATTTACCTGTTTGCCAGTGCCTATTCTTGGCTTATGGATCACAACTTCATAATGAATAAAGCATTCAACTTTTAACCACTGAATTACAGGTTATTATCAGATCAGATTGTAGCTAGTTCGTTTTAAGTAAAAAATCAATCATAAAATGTACTCATGAGGCTTTACTCGGTTACTGATGTATAATAAATAGCCCATATTTAAAAATAGTCGAAAACCTGTTATTTTATTATTTTTATTCTGTTAAAACGTTATGTATACTAAGTTGTTAAAAACCATCATTCACGTATTTTGGCATGCTACTTTTTTTTACAAAAAAATCCTTATATAATGAACATTACTATCCTGTATTACTTTCTTCCTTTCATTTGCATTTACAAACTATATGACGTCACAATCTTTCTGTTTGTACTTTATTCATGTGTTCAGTCATGCTGAGTTTTATTTAGTTTAGTGTACTTAATGTGTCATTTTGATTTTGTCTATCTCGTTCTCGCCAAACATTTAAGGAAAATCGTCTACTTTTATCGAATTAGAAATAAACTAATTGAGATAATGATCGTTTTCTTTTTTTGGTGTCATGGATGGCTATCCACTGGCGAACTCATTGGTAGAATATCACAATGTTCTATTAACCTGTAAAAATTAAATACTCACATTTGTCATAGTTGTAGTCAAATGAATTAATTACAGATGTATGTAATAATCAAGTGAACATTCACAGTTAAATTCACCTATGTGATAGGAATATATGACTTAGGATGATAAGCTTGATGGCATTGAATTCTCTGAGCTTGAATAGTTTAGTCTCTGAGTTTTTGATTTCCTTTCTGAACAGCATCCTTAGCACAACCTTCTAGTAGAAATGATAAATAGTTATTTGTGAAGGAACTGTTATAGTCCACTTTCATCTGGAGTGTATGTTGATGATATCTAGAAAATCAATGAAAGCTTGCAATTAAATTCTCAGTTCAGAAAATACAGTTTCAAAAGAATTTGCCAATTTAAATATTTCAAATGAGATAAGATTCAATAACTAGGAAGTAATAGTTCACGTACCCATTTTCGAACCATACTATTCGATAAAACTAATCAGAATTAATGATAATAACTGACTGCCTAAATGGAGTATGGTACTTAAGTATGCAATTCAATAGTTGTTGTAAACGTCATATGTACTTAAACCACTTAATGAGAAAATTAATTTTATTTTTCAAGCGAAATATACCCATGTAATTGTAATCAAAATTAAAATATTTTGCTTTGATTTTCTTCACTGAATATATAAGTTAATTTTAGAGTTTGTCATTATAGTTTTATAGTGAACTGTTGTATTATCTACCATTTATTACTAGACATGTTTATCATAGAATCTCCGAAAGAGGTAGAAAAATAAAACAGTTTTATTCGAAATTCAACTTTATGGTTAGTGAAAGATTTTGTATCTTTTAGTGTATTTGAAACATACATGACTAGAGATGAAATCCATGATGTACGTTTTGTCCTATTCTGGACATGTCACCTGTATGTATGGACATCCGAGTGTTGTGATTCATATTGGAACTTGAACCCAATACCCGTTGTTTCAAACTCTAATGCTTTATCCACTGAGTTACTGAGTCTAGATAGCCATTAACTTGATTAAAATGTATGATATGACTCTATACTTAGGCAATCAGTTCAGGATTTACATATGATAGCAAATACTGACAGTTTGCAGTCCAAAATATCAACAATGTGAAGTTATAAATCTTTATTAACATCACCATAGTTGTTGGACAGATTAGTGACTATTTGGATTCAGTAGCTTAGTGGATAACAGATTGTCGTTTGAGACGAAAGGTTCTGGGCTCGAGTCTCAGCCTCGACACCATAAATCTGGTGACACGTCCAGGTGACGAGTCCCAAATGGGATGAAGCACACTTGCTAGACTCCAATACTATTCACTCTAATAAAACTTTGTGACTAAATGATCATGTCGATCCAGTACGCTCAGGAAGTACATATGCCAGTGAATATTGATGGATTGGAGTCCTTAATGTTAACAACGGGAAAATACAAACACTTTCAAGTTAAGCGTAGTACTTTTTTGACTTATCAACTAAAAATTTGTTATATATCATGGTCATTTGCTGCTTTGTTGCATTGTGTGTTATTTTAATGAACCATATCTTCGTAGTGAATCGTCCTGTTTTACATATTATTTCATGATTACAATTTCAATTCTTAATTTCAGCAAAAACGTAATGAAGATGAGCGTGAAAGAGAGAAGAAATTGAATGGAATCGGAAGTGGACGTGCGATTCCACTAAAGCAAGTGAGTATTTTCTTTAGTAATTATTCTAATTAAAATAGTTTTTCTATCTAGTACATGCTGTTAGCTGTACATAGTAACATCATTCATTGCTTAAGTTAAAAGTGTCAGTCAGTCAGTCAGTCAGCTACAACGTAGGACCAGGCACATATGTGCATCGGTCCAGGTTGCCATACCTCATTAGCACAACAAGATGAACACCGGATTCATAGGAGTGGTTAGGTCAAAGGTTGCAATAAGGATATAGTATAGGAAGGAAGAATTAGTTCGTAGAAAGAAAGATATGAAGTGATTTAATCTCTTAGTTTAAGGGAAGACAGGGAGTGTATACACCGACGCCATTGTGATCGATTCTGAGCCATGTCACCAAGAGTCTCCAACCATTGGTTACGATAGTCACGCGGACCCCAACCAAGTAGTCTGCATCTACCAACATGGCTCAGACTAGAAGTTAGTGACTTCAAGCACTGATGCCACGTTTTGGTTTGGCCGCCCCTAACTTTCTTCCAACCATCTCCAATACCGGATAGCATTGCACGTCGTGGTAATCGGTGTTCAGGCATACGTAATACGTGGCCCAACCATCTCAGTCGATGAAGATTCATAACCTCATCAACTGATTTACCATCATTCCCTAATACCCTACGTCTAACCTCACTATTACTTACCCGGTGATCCCAGCAGATGCCAGCAATATTTCTAAGGCATCTGTGGTCAAATACTTGTAGCTTACGGGTGTCTTCTACTCTTAAAGGCCATGTTTCGCTGCCGTAAAGTAAGACAGAACGGACTGCCGCGCAGTATACTCGTCCTTTTATTGATAGACGGATATCTCGCCTCCGCCAAAGGTGACGTAAGTTGGCAAAAGCCAAACGAGCTTTTCGAATCCGTGCTGAGATTTCGTCAGACACCAACCCATTAGGGCTGATCAGACTTCCAAGATAAGTGAAGTTGTCAACGCGTTCGACTACTTCACTCCCTATCCTTAGTTCAGGTGTTGACGCACACCAGTCCTGAAGCAACAACTTGCATTTAGAGGGAGAGAAGCGCATCCCAAACATTCTGGCATTGTTGCTTAGTGCTACCAGAAGACTCTGCATTTTGTCAGCGTCTTCACCAAACAGGACTATATCATCTGCGTATTCTAAGTCGATAAGTGGACCTCCTGGAAGGAGATCAATACCCGAGAATTCAGTCGACGAGAGTGTTATTTCCATCAATAGGTCTATGATGAAGTTAAACAAAAATGGAGAAAGTGGACAGCCTTGACGGACACCACTTGAAGTTGCAAAAGTAGATGACAGTTCGCCATAAGCCCTGACTCGACTAGTAGTGTTCGAGTAAAGAGCCTTCACAAGGTTTATGTACTTCTGAGGTACGCCTTTCAATGACAGACACTGCCACAGAGTCTCGCGGTCTACAGAGTCAAACGCTGCTTTTAAGTCAAGAAAGACCACCATCGTCGGACGCCGATAGGTATGCCTGTGTTCTAGAACCTGACGAATGGTGAATATGTGGTCGATGCAGCCACGACCAGGTCTAAAGCCAGCTTGGTTCTCTCGAGTTTGTAGTTCACGAGTCTTAGTTAGGCGTCTGATAATTATCGAGGCCAGTATTTTAGATACTATGTTTGTTAAACTAATCCCTCTGTGGTTGTCACAGGATGATTTTGACCCTTTCTTATATATTGGGACGATGAGTGATTGCGACCAGTCAGATGGGATAAAGTCTAATTCCCAGATCTTAGCTAAAATATTAGTCAACCTAATCGCTAAAATTGGACCACCATCCTTAAAGACCTCTGGAGCCAATCCATCTGGACCAGCTGCCCTTCCTCGTTTCAGATTAACTACAGCCTTTTGAACTTCAGCAAGAGTTGGGGGACCTACTTCAATGTTCCATTCACATTGTCTGGGAATGGGGGGTAGTTGTAGAGTAGCTGAAGGCCAGCTGAACTGTTCTCTAAAATGTTCCGCCCATCGTTCTAAACGTCTGGACTGGGAGCAGATGAGAGTATCATCTTTTTCCGAAATAATCTCACTTACACTTGACTTATTAATTCCAGTTTCTTTTATTAGTCTGTAAAGCTGTCTTGTGTTCCCTATAGTCGCCGCCTTTTCCATCTCTTTTGCTTTCGTTACCCACCACTGCTCACGGTCGTTCCTTAGACTTTTTCTTAACCTAGATCTGATTTGTTTTCGCTCTTCATCATGTTCAGAACCTGATGGGACGAGTTTGCGAGAATCCATCAGTGTGACAGACCTTGAAGAAATCCACTGGTTCCTTGCAACTCTGTGGTTTAAGTCACTAATAGATGTCACTGCTGTTTCCACAGCTGATTGTATGCCCTTCCAAGCAACATCTGGGTCAGCCTCGTCTTCACAACTACCTAAGTGTGACCTCAGTTGTTCCTGGAACCTACTTTTGGTTTTCTCGTTACTCAACTCAGTTCTAACGGGTCTTTTTACTGTGGCTTTTTTGCGTCCATTGAGGCGCAAGCAGATGCGTGCCCGTATTAGGGCGTGGTCGGAGTCCAAGCAGGTACTCCAGAATGAGCGACAATCTTCTACCGACCCTCTCCGACGATGACTGATGGCAATATGGTCTATTTGAGTCCATCGTTGGTTTGGTGTAGGGGGTCACCATGTTAGACGATGTCTCTCCTTATGCTTAAAATTTGTGTTTGCTAAGAATAAACGATTGTCTGAGCACATTTGCAGCAGACAATCACTATTATCTGTTCGTTGTGCCGGAATACTAAAATACCTACCTAAATGCCTTTCTGTTTGGTTTAAGCTACCTATCTGAGCATTAAAATCACCTGCTACGAGTACTATGTCTGAGCGTTTAGCTTTCTGAAGAAGTTCAGAAAGCTTTCTGTAAAATTCATCTTTCACTTCATCTGAGCTGCAGTCAGTGGGAGCGTAGACAGAAAAGACAAAAAGGCAACGACGTGTGTCCCTATCCTTCCGAGTTCTTACGTAGCCGTTCAGCCGAACAGCACATAGACGACTGTTGACGGGGATCCACTCTAGCAGTGCTTGTTCGGCCCTCATGCTTAGTGCTATGCCTACACCTGCCAGTCCACGAGAACTGGCCATCGGGTCACCAGATACACGGAGGGTGTATCTCGTTGACTCTCCGTTCTGCCGAGGTGAGGTCAAGTGAATGACCACACTGGGATCCTGTATGCGTGTTTCAGAGACACAGCATACATCAATGGAAAGAGACTCTAGGGTTTTAGCCAAGGAAGCCTGCTGACCGATTTGACATAGAGTGCGTACGTTGAAAGCTCCAATGTGTAGTTTGGAGCGAGGTTTCAGTAGACCTGGGACAGAGTTTTGAGCACTAGAATCGTTGGCTATGGTGACACTTGAGGAGGAAGCCGAAGGAGGAAGTTTAGGGTTGAAAGTCGATGTAGGAGGAATAATAGGAATTGAAGAGGAAGGTTGATTATGAATACAGTGGTCTTGGGTGCTGTTAGAGGTATGAGGGCGGTTATCACTTCCCGGTTGCCCACACCGTGGAAGGGTTCTTCTGGAGGTACCTGAAAAGGAAATTGGATTAGAGGTGGTTTCAGTGACCTGAGAGCGTGACCGCAGTGCCCAAGGGACAACTGCTTGAGGCCGGTCGCGCACGGCCTTTTCGTGGAAGGTTTTCGACGTGTTAGCTCCGTTCTTCAAAGGGCCTTACCGCCGGAGACGGAAATCCGTGAGGTAAGGTGAGGTGTGCATTTTTAGGGTCGACCTTTTCTAACCCCACCCCTCCTTGTGGGAAGGCAGCATCGCTGTCATGCTGGTTGTCTGAAGGAAACACCTTACTGCTGTCACACCTCTGTACAGTCAGCAGTACGACTTCGCCTTCGGACCTTGGGTTTGTTGCTTTTAGTCTTACCGCTCTTCAACCGACCTGTCTGACATGGTAGGACCTTGAGGAACGGTTGTTCCAGTCAGTATAGCTCGGTTGCTTCATCACGATAGGCAAGCCCGACCACCACGTCAAGGTAGCAACAACGGTCGGGAAGTTAAAAGTGTATTGCCTGGTGAAAGCCAGATTGAATTATTCTAGTCTGGACGATCTTTGACGCCCTCGTAATGTTAATATGGCTGTAAAAACTCAGATTTACAACGCGTCAGTGAAAGCAGTTTTGCTCTGTGCTTATAAAACCTGACCTTTCCGACTTGAGGATTTTAAACGACTCTCTTCGTTTGATCATCGTTCCTCACAAAGGATTTCAGAGGCAGTACCATGTTAGTAATACAGAGGTTCGGCATAGTGTGTTTTGGCACAGCGACGATAATTCAGCTGGTACCACCATCTTGAAACACCAGTTTTGGTGGCTTGGACATATACTAAGAATGCCATCCTAGTGAACTTCACATCGTCCACTATTTGCCAACTTTGGGACTGGTCGAGAAAAGTGGAGAGGTGTTCACTTTATAATATTGTACCGTCGTATCAAAGAAAACTGCCCAGAACTGGGGTTTGTTGGTCCGTCACGACTTTCTGGTTCGGTCATAGTGAAGGTACAAAGCAGTTGCTTGAGATGTTATCAGACATGGCTCAGAATAGAAGCCAGTGAAGGTCCTGCTGTAACTTCGCAATCTCATTTCGTTATTGTATGGTGCATGTTTATTGTGGTGTCCCTTTTTACCAATATTTGTGTTTAAATAAATAAATTTAATCACGAACACTACATGTCCTGGTGAAATTGCACATCAGCATAAATGATCATAGATCATACGACAATATAGCCGAAAAAATCTACAATTCGATAGATAAATATTTAGAAATCGTGGTAACAATGAAATTTGAAAATCAAAGATGAGAAATGTAGTTCGAAGGGAATAAGCTTCGAAAGTGGGATAACATTAAAACGTAAGATTTATGGGAATATGAAATAAATATATCCACACCACTGACTTGATTTAAGCTATGTAGTCCAACCCATCACTGTCATTGAATAGGTCTCAATCTCAGTTCAACTATCAACCACTTCATCAACTGACACCTTGTCACGTTCTATCCATTATACTAGCATGATTATCAATTGATCTTTGAACTTTTACAACACTTCATCGAATGACTACAAAAATGAATAAACCACTTGAGTATCAACTACAATGTTTATTACTCGAATTCTACTCCACCTACTTCAATTTCAGAAGTCATTAAACAACGCGTTTCAAAACTGAATACACAGATATTCATATTTCATAATTGAGTCACAATACTTTCTAACCGTGATACCTAATTAGTTTTTTTTGTAAAACATTCCAACTTCTATAATTTTTACGAATCATATAACGCATTTTTCATTACAAAACAGTAAACTAGTATACTGTTATATATATAATTTACCTACAACAATGCATTTATGCTTAGATGTTATGTATATTATTGTGCCATGCATCTCATCAGATAGACTGATTTTTTTCAAATATTACTATCATATTCATACTGTCTGTTAGACATAAATAACAGTAAAAGTACGTCATCTTGATAATTTCTTCTTTCTGTGTGGCAAGTTGGAACGATGCCAGGTTTTTATATTCTTTATGACTGAATGGTGAGATTAAATTACTGCTTCTTAAAATGTGAAATTGTAAGTTTTACTAAAAACTCAGTTTGGTTTCATCATGTTCTCGAATGCCTGTAGTGGATTTAATGTTTTGATTGACCATTTCGAAATAAGCATCACAGTTTCTGTCTACTCATACAACCTTGTTATATTTATCCCTGAGTAGGGAAATACGTACAGTTTTACTGTTCCCTTAATTAATTGCGTCAACAAATATTGTTTAGAATACTAGTTATTTAAAACAACTACTGCAGACGGTTATCGTAATGCACATATGCTATTGGTTAGTGATTCAGAAATTTTGTTCAGATGTATTTTCATCATTTGACTGAGTTTGTCTAAATTCTCTATAAAAAGTCGGTGTTTAGTTCTCGATATATAGGTCTCAGCGGTGATAATAAATCGGTTGATGCTTTGTTTGCAATTAAAAATGAGGATAGTTACCACTCTGAATCCCATTTGAACCATCTGACTGCATTAGATTAAAATGCAATCTAACTCATTTATGAAGCATATGTTTGTTTATTTGTCTTCAAACATCACTGTTTGTATACGGACTGGTAATACTACATGACTTCCAAAACCGAAGTAAGGAGAATGAAGTTCAAAACTTTGACCAAATAATTGAAACCTGAATGTTTTAATTACCTTCTATCTCTTTGGCTGTGATTTGTTTGAAAGTGAGACTATTTTCTATCATAATCATTAATTAATATGTATTTACCTCAAGGTAATTATAGACGATCGACTATATGAAATAAAAGTTATTCACCTCAGCTAATTGTTTTTTTATCATTCTTAAATAGTTCATTGTAAATGTTCTCCTTTTTCTTCATGTTTTGTTCAATACTTGTTGTTACACAATGAATTATAATGTTATTATTTTTATTCTACACATTTAATTCAGGGATTTTTATACAAACGAACTTGTAAACCATTAAGTAAAGAATGGAAAACTAAAAAGTATGTAACTCTAACAGATGATGCTCGTCTTACTTATCATCCAAGTATTCATGTAAGTCTCTTAATTAATAGATTGATGTTTCATTGTTGTATTTCCTTTATAAAGTTAATCTCACTGATTTAACTATGTATTAATTTCTTTTTTAGAAATCATGGTTTAATTAATTAAATAGAAATACATGTAGAGAGTTTCTAATGTACTCGGTACTCCTGTCGCATTTTTTTCATGTCATCAGGTTTACTGACACCAGTTTGTATAAAGCGAAACTCTTCGTTGAGTTAGTACTCTTGCTACCAAACACCTTGTGTCAAATTACTGAAGCATTTTTCATATATCCTGTGACCACCGAGTAAGTAAAGCAGATGCTAGGACACAGGTACTAGGTAAGGATGGCAAATCAAATGATGAAGTAGTGAAACTTCATGAGTTGAGATGGCTGGGACATGTGTTACGTATGCTCAACCACCGACTTCCCCGACTTGTGATGTTCTATGGTGTAGGAGTAGGTTGGGAGAAAGCTGTGGGCGGCCAGACGAAAACATGGCAGAAATCCATGAAGTGACTGACGAGTGGACTAGGCGATGTTGATAGTTGTAGACTTTCTGGTTCCGGGGACCTGCGAGATGATTGCAACCGATGATTAGAGACCTTGAATGACATGGCTCAAAATTGTTTGCAATGGTGCAGGTGCATCCACTTTTCGTGTTCTCTCAAATTCCAATCTTCTGAATTCTTCATGTCCCCGTTATTTTCCAAATTTATTTAACTGGATTATACTCCTTGAGTAAGATCTTATACTCTTACTACCTCTATTATGGGATTTGAATAGACAATTGTATCTGTGTGTTAATGTGGTATGACAACTCGAACTGATGTACGCATATACGAATGAATGTACAAGTTAGTAGTTAGAGAAGCTCAATACTTACTATCATGTTTTCGTCACTAACAATTTTTTGTTTGTTTGAATAAATATGTAAATAACTGGAATGACAGTTATTTACCTTTGTTTATGTCAATTGTTTCACACTATTTCTTATTTCAATGTAAAATTCTATTACATATTTGGTTGTAAGCAGCTGACGAGAAACCTCGAAATATTATGAATTCATACTATTCTGCATAAATATTTGTTCTTGCTTTATTTAAATTCATAACGGGAACTAATTGCATGAAACCTTATTTATAATCTTAACTAATTCTTAGTCTACTAGGTTGACGATAGAATTGGTTAATTTGTTGCTTAAATGCTACCTATTAGACTTTTCTGATTTCACATAGACTTCCTCTTATTTACCTTTTACAGTACCGACAAGCATGGGTCACGATACAATGTAATTAAATAGGAATACAAATTACATAAGTCTGTTTAGTGAGGTCGAAGAGTTTTTTTAAACACTTGAAATGAGAATACAAATCATTTGAGATGAATTTCTCTCTTTTCATTATAACAATCCTTAGTCCTAAATTCACTTGGTGTTGTTTTACTTGTATTTTCCCATTGTTATTTAGGACTGCAATTGATCAGTCTCATGTTGGCATATGTGCATCCTGTGCGGATCGCTTAAGTCACAAGTTTTTTAAGCGAAAATGGATAGTGGCTAGCAGTGAAATCCAGGACTCGCGTCTCGTCCTATTTGGGACCCGTCAGTTGGATGTTCCTGCATCCCAGAGTTGATATTCACTCCGGGACTCGAACCCAGTACCGTTCGCTCCAAATAACATCGCGTCCCGGAGTGAATATCAATTCTGGGATGTAGGTAAATCCAGCTGACGAGTCCCAAATAGTACTAAACGCGCGTCCTGAATTCCACTATTAGCCACTATCCATCTTTGCTTAAAAATCCTTAGTCCTGTTTATAAGAAACAATCAAGTCACTAAGCACATCGATCTTTTCTGTTACTTCAAAAATTTGTATCAGCACTTATTGATGCGTTCATTCATTATCTTTACTTAATCTGTCATTATCTATACTGGTAAAAGTCTTTATTTTAGGTCACTCCAGTTGTTGTTGTTGTCATAATGTCGGATAAGATTTTATCATGAATTTATCTTTCACTCAAAAAATAACTTGTTACACATTTCTTTACTGTTATTCTTCTGTTAGTCAGTTTAGTTTCATTAAGAATTCATAAAATATATTGAATAGTTTCTAGTAAAAAGAAAAACAACCTGAACAGTAACCATGTATATTGTTGTATGTATGAATAAAATTTCTAACATATGTCCAATAAATTGATTCATCTGTGTTTTTTTTGTTGCTTATCGTTAATGATGGTTGGCTGTATCTGAACAAAGAAATTTTCCACTGGGATAAATTTAACATCTTATTAGGTATACAAGCCAGTAAATACTTGCTAAATAGGTTGAATTTGTACATTATATGTATATATATGGTTGTTTTAAAAGAAACACTAAAATCCATGTGTTAGAGAAAAATATATTGAAATATTGTTACGCTTATAGACTAGTCTTGTCTGATTTATACATTTCCAACAATCTGTACAGTTTTTGTTGTTATTGTTGTTGTTGTTGTTGTTGTTGTTGTTGCAATTTATGATCCTTGTAAATTATATCCAATAGTGATCAAGTCATTTATATGGTTTCATATTGGTATATCAGTTAGACTGTACAGTACAAATGATCTGTTGACTACTTTCATGCATCATATCGACCGATATAATGAAATCTGAAAATGAATATTTTTATCACTGGTAATACTCTGTATCAAATATAATGTTAGAGTCAGGATGATAGTTGAAATGAATTATCCTTTATGCAGTACTATCGACAGAATACATATCGAAAATATTAATAACAGTCAAAAGTGCATAAAGATGGGATCTATACAGTTTTAAAATTCGCTATTGGTCGCACTGATTTCAGTCGTTGATCTTCTAGTAGTTTAACTTTGGTGATAACCATAATTCATGCCAACTTTGTCACTAATTTATACGCTTTGATGATACGGCAAATCGCTTTGAAGTTTTATAACGAAATAACTTCTTTTCCTTTTTCTTCATACTTAACTAGTACATAAGTCGAATCTTGAATTGACCTACACATTGTACCAAAGATGATTAGATAAAACTAACAACCATTATATGTAACTAAATTAGCATTACCTTTATAGTAGAGACGATAAACCGACGTTCAATGTTGTAAAAATAAGTAATGCTCCACGTGGAGGAATTCGGGGTGAAAAATTTATTTGAATATTACAATAGGTAATACAGACAGTCACTTGGAAATTGAGGCATCTGGAACATCATCTTCAAGTGCGGTAATAATCTTACTTCTTTGGGGTTCACTCAGCATTTCGCCACTCGGGATAGATAAGGATCACACCCTTTCCTTACTCTAAAGTTCTCATTCAAAAGAACAGACTCTTTTATTCCTCATTCGACAGATTCTAGAGTTTGCGGAATAAACTGAGAGACATTGGAACGAGAGCATTTCAGTTATACAACTGGCTCTTAAAACATCGTGTGATCTTTGATAATACATGCTAACATCTATATATAGGTCCATTATTTAGTTTATAAGTTCCTGTTGCGCTGCTGATCATATCCCGTTTATAATCAGAAACAACCTCTATATATTTCATTTTATACTAAACATTTTCTCACAATCACGTGGTTAGAGTTGTTTATTCTAATACTTTATTCGCATATATATTAGATTGTTTTGACGATCTGTTCTGCTATTGATTTTTGCGTTTTTACTTAGGATTATATGGACAATTCACACGGTAAAGAAATTGACTTAAGTAGAACAACCGTCAAAATTCCTGGTGTAGCATTTCGTCAAGTTGGAAGTCGTATAACAAGTAATGGACTGTTGCGAAGTCAATTAAATGATGGCGGTACAGGTAATTATGAAATACTAAATAACTACATTCTTATCAAATATTTTTCTCTAATTTGTTGAAAAAATAAGATGTTTTTCACTTGTCTTTAACTTGTCATCAGTTGATTTTGTCATCTTTCGTAGATCCTATTTTCACGTCCATTCACACTTGTTCGCCTATTGAAATTCACTTTTAAAATTTCTAGTAGACATATTTATGATGAATATTTATGTAAGTTTTTTAAGGTTTTACTACTGCAAACAATAAGTGACTGGCGTTTTTCCCCTATTCATTTGTGCTGAGTTCGTATAAGGGATAAAAAACAGTTCCATTTATTAGTCCAATAAAGCATAATTACGTAGGATAGGTCATTATTGCTTTTGAAGTTGTGAGTACAGCGAACACAGTTTATAAAAAATGAACGAAGTAGACACGGAAACTTCAGTCTTAGTAAACGTAGTAAACGATAATATCAATTAATTAGGAAATTTTCGGCGTCCTTTCAATAGGTACTTTAAATTTCTCTGGTTTTGGTTGGTTGGTTGCTTTGATAACCCTAAATTGTTATTCAGTTTGTGTAACTAAACCTAGCGATCATTATATTGGTATTAAATATATTCTATCGGATCTTCTAAACCACTATCCTCTTTTGTGTATATACTCTTTTTCCTTAAATTCTCTTTGTTTGTTTTTTAATAGATCGTCGATCAACTGGCGTAGATGTTAAGAATCCTACTGAAAATTCAGCCCCTATTAATGATAATTCGGCATCAGGTCAAAAGCATTATTTTATATGTCTTTCTCTTTATTTGCTAAGTTTATTTTGTCAGAAGTCTACTTTCAATTTTTCGTGTTATTCTATTAGAACTATTCCTCACTAAATGTGTGGAGTTATATGAGATTAACTTAACATCAATTCCGGTTGCCTTTCAAAGTAACACGGAATCGTGACTTTGATTACCATCTCCTTTTCTGTAGTCTATACATATTATTACTTCTTTTTCTTTTAATTTCGACCTGTTTAATTACTTGTTCCAGTGTTATTTTTAGTGGTTTGCTTGACTCTATGAAATTTTCATTTACGTATGTTGAACAATCATTAATTTTGAGTTATTAGTAGATGATTTATTCCACCTGCACTGATCAGTCAATCATAAATGATTTACAAGTTATCTCAAATAGTGTTTCATTGTAAGTTTTACTTATTTCATATCAGCTGAACTAGATAAGTAGTTAACATGATCGGAAGGGAGAATAACATTAACAAGACAACCGTGATATTAGTCACTGTCCAGTGATCACTCAATTATAAGTACCTCAGATCTACAAGAGGTTGGTCGCGACCACAATAGTTCAAAAGTAAAGTTTCAGATTGCAAACATAGGTGACATGAAATCAAATATGCCAGTGTCTTCAAGGTTACGGTTACACCTTACTAACGAATTCCATTCAACCTTAAACTTAGGTTCCGAGTTTCCTGTTAGCTACCTCCAATCACCCAATAGCGATAGCTTAAATTACGTTTTAAAATGCACTAGATGACGTACAAAACTATGTAATGACTCAGAGATAAGAATTCACCGTAAAGTAGCGAATATACGCAACTGTGCCACAGGATTGTTTTTAACTAACAACTCTCTGACTGCAGATTAGAATTATTCTATGTATTCTAACTGGGCCATTTGCACCAGCTTGTTCGTCTTGGTTAATTAGTAGTTTGCGAGTTTTTTTCTCATCCTCAGCATTTTTCGAAATCATTCCTGCCCCAATAATCTGCTACTGAGATTACAAATCACAGATCTTCATGTTCTGTATACAATGTCCTTCAACTACTTGTGTTGAAGGCACATTATTTTTTCATGAAAATCAGTTGTTTTGATTTTACATGCTATTTCTCACAGTCTCGATAGGTAAAAATTGTCTTTTGAGATGAAAGTGTACAAAATGTATATTGTATGAATATAAAATTAACTGACCAAATGCATTCACAACTTCAATAGTTGAGATCATGAGTCATTTGATGCTAGACCACCATTGAAAACCTGGAAGCACTGGACGACCTATTGTGGGACTCCTCAGCAGAGCACATCCGTGATCTCATGATATCAGCTATTGAAATTATCACAATCTCCACAAAACCCCTTTGATGCATTCATAACTGTTCATGGGCTGAATGCTTCTCGCTCCACATAAGATTACTAATTAACGCGTTTTTCAATTTATGTCTCTGAGATGCACATCACATTATAAATTCTTAAGGAAAGTGATTTAATCATGTTTCGGTAATCCACAACAGTTGTGTGCTAACTTCGAAATTGTATTCAGCCAATCTTTGCTATTAGTTTATTTCTAATTTATTAATCAGTCAACCATGAACAATGTGGAAATTAACACAAATATCCACTAAACAAAATTACCACATTTTTAACAAGCACAGATGGAGATAATTAGGAGGATAGATAATGAACGGGTCAAAGTATTATCAGTGGAATCCAAATAAATCAAACAGAATACACTTCGAAAGGAAACAAAGCAATTTCGAGCTGACATCAGTCAATCTTTGATAAAATCTACATCTACCGCAAACAAACAGCATACTGTTCACTTGTTTAATAATTACCCAATTTTTCTCTTCTGTGTGACAACTTTTCATTCGATTTGTTGTATAATACTGAACGAGCGTTCGATTCATTCTTGATTGTTACCTTGTCTACTGTTCTATTCGTTGTTATTTATATAATTGGCACGTACTTTGTTACTTAATTTAGTATCTGTTTATCTCACATTTTTTATCGGTTTGTTTTACCTATTTCTCCTTTTCCCTTCCACTTCGTCCTATCCTGTCTCACTGTCTGGTTTGTTGTTCGCTGTTTTTTCTACATGGGAATAATTACCGATACTGCACAAATTGATTCGTCTTGTTAAAAATGGTTCTTCAATATTTCTGTATTCATTTAAAGTAAGTGAAACATATTTGAAAATAACGTTACAATTTATTTGGTACATCTTTTAAAGTTCATGCTAAGTGAAATGAACAGAAATAAAATGATTTTTGTTAGTAAAATATATGCACACATAACGTATTTGTCTGATCTGATATTTCGATTAATAATACCGTTTTCAAGTAGAATGATGATCATAGAAACACACGTATTTATTCTTACTATTCAAACAACAGTGAACGGAACAGGTTTTGAACTTGTGACCCAGTGTTTGAAAGCCACTTTCTTTAATCATTGGTTCTTTGCTTAGGTTTACTCGCTAAACAACTGATCTCCAATTGTGATTATGTGCAACACCATTCTCATACTTATATTGATTTATGGGGATTTACCATTATTCACTTGTGAGAGTAAACCTACAAAAAATAGAATTGTCCTATTGTTATCTGAGTCAAAGCATGGAAAAGCGAGCTTTCACAATCAGCAAGCTGAAATATTATTCATCTGCTGGTGATGATAGCCTGTGCTAGCTTTTGGTGCCGTCCTGACGTTGATCTGGTAGGAAAACGTCACTTGAGCAAGGTACTAATGACAGCACTTTTTCGCTATGCTAGTGAAACTTGGCTTCTTAGTGTGTCTGACGACTTGCTGTGTACAACCATAGCTGTCTCCCATAAATTGTTGATATCTGTCGACAGTTCTCTGTAAGCAATACCAAGTTTTTTGCAGTTTATTATTTGACTCTGTGAAATGAGAGATGGCTTTTTGAGAAAGATCTATTGGTTATTTACAATCTCATTATCACCTCAAAGGCGATCCGAGCATCGAGCTCTATCAAACTTAGCTTGGTATAAAAACCAATGCTTATTCTGTTATAAGTTTTCTATCTCATTTCAAATATACAAATTCATCTTGGTTGTATTTTTTGCTAAAGTGTATTTTGTGATGTGATGCATTCTTCATGTGTTTATTATAAAGTCCCATACTTCTAGAAATTTTCTGAGATTCCCTCGACCTAGAATTTTGACCTTCTTTCAGTCGAATTTGTGTCCATGGTTGTTCCTATTCATTGATACCTGTGCTAGTATATCATATCACCTCATTGCTGATCTATGTTCATTCATGCGTAAGTGAAGAGCAGGGCGAGTTTGTTTAATGTAACACTTCTTGCAGTTGATGAAATCTATTTTATAGATGTTGTGTCTTCCTTTACCGTTGTGTCTTTTGTTCTTCATAGAATGAAATCAAATGACTGCTCGCTTGTGAGTAACATTAATTCGAAAGAGCTTCATAATCCTTGTAATCGTTTTCGAGATATTTATTATACATGGTAGTACGATCCTTTTCTTGCTTCCTGAGTTTCGTTTTCTGACAGTATGTCGATTGGGCTGTCATCTTTTGATTGGGGGCAGCCGTTATTACGAAAAATGAACTGGAGATGATTTTTTTTTCAATTTTTCGTGCAATGAGAGTACGGCAGTGTTTTATAAATCTCTTCGTTGTCGTCTGTATTAAAATACTAGTATTATTAATTGCTAATACTTTTTGCCATTACTATTTTGATGCATCAATTAAGCAGTGATAGTAAATTGTAAATACCAGCTTGAATTGATTTTCCTGCCTACTCGTTGATTGTTTCTATTTAATTCATTGTTTCATGTTATTTTTTCAAAGTCATGTGATTGCTACCCAGTCGATCGCCTTTTCTACAGTCATCGAATCTCCCTGACAAAGACAAATCTTTAATTCTTATTACATATGGTCTAATCCTTTAAGTGTCATTACGTATTAGGATTGATCGATTTAATTTAATCTGTACTTGATCCCTCATATTGGTAGTATAAGATGACCATTTTCTCAATACAAACATAATTTCCTTATAATTATATCTTGATAATCTGTTCTAAACCTTATTTTACTGTTTAGTTTAATTAACTAAACTCTAGAGATTTCTATCATGATATTGATTTTTGTGTGCTTAATGTTTATTTATTTAACATAATTATATATTGAAGTTACTTTTCCTCACATATTGGCGTTGTCAGTTGGCAGGATTAACGTTGTATATTCGTTACATAAATATTACGGATTGAATAAAGTCTGGAATATTTTCTGCTAAATTCTGTCTCAGTCATCTGAATGTATTTAATACTCTCCAAGATAATTAAAAATTCATACTTCGATTGTAAGCGTGTGAACTGTTGAAGAAATAAAATCATAAATAGCTTCAGTAGAATAACTTTTGAATCCTCTCCGATGTCTAATACAGGGTTTCACATTGTTAGAATTCTTTTAATAAAAAAAAACTCAAGTTGAATAATATTTACAAACTCTTTATCCAAATAACTTTGTTTTGTTTGACCTTTTTTCAGTTTAACTTCGTGAAAACTTCTAACAGGAGGTAAAGATTCATCATCCGTGAAAAAACGTCATCGACGTATTAAATCTAATCCAAAGAGTAATAATGCTGATGGTTCAGGTGATTCGACTGTTTTGTCCTTACACTATTTTCATCCGTTTATTCGTTTATTTTTTTACTGTTTTCATTATCGGCTACATTATTGTTGCAGTTAAAAGATGATTCTATCTAGTTAGTCGTAATCAATGTAAAACATGGAGTATGTGTCTATCACTCCAAGTGACCACTTCACATCAACACAGCGAGATCAAATTATCGAGATAAATACCGAAACAGTGAAAATAGTCGTAGTAGCGGCAATAAAGAGGATCAGGGATAGAGAATATAATCCAAGAAAGAGCATTAAACTGTTGGAATAATAAACATAAAATGTTTTTGAACCCCTAAGATCTAGGTCAAGCCAGAAGGTAAGCCTGTCTGTGCCAGTGTATACGATTCTGATTAGATTTCACACAAGGTCAGCAACTACTAATCCCAATAATAATTCAGACCTTAACATAGTAGTATAGATTCACTTATATGGTTCAAACCAGCAGTTAATAACTTCATGCCAAACTTTACTTTGGGCTCCTGTAGCTCCCTATGAACATCGCTCACCGAATCAGGTAACTATCGTCTACTTATACCATTCAACCTTATGTTCTCTCATTTTTATGTAGATATTTATTAGAGTCGACTCTATAATCTAACTTAAGTGGTGCTATTTCTTACAATTATTAGTTTGGCACATGAAGATTAGTGGAGAATATCTCAGTTTGTAGGATGGCATTCGTCTACCTTAAATCAACCGGTTTGCATTCATTTAGATTTCCAACATCAGTAAGATTCTCCACAATAGCATTAGATTTAAACATTGGTCACAACGGATGATCAGTAAGTATTGGGAGTTAAAATACCTGAAGTAAACATCAGTTCTCTTTATTATCTTTAGTTGATTGTTTCAAAAAATTTTTCATTAAGACTAATTATTTCACCGATATATAAATTTTCCTTATCAGATTCCGAAGGTTATGAATTTCAGTTGATATCAATGGATCGTCAGTGGCATTTTGAAGCAACTGGCCCAGATGAACGAGATGAATGGGTTATGTATATTGAACGTGCTATTATGACAAGACTTCAATTGAATGAATCATCTAAACGTACTCGTGCTATTGCTGCTACTGGGTGTACTACAGGAGGTGGCGGTGCTAGCGGTTCCAACCACCTTTCCAATGTTAGTGGATTAGGTTCAGGGAGTGGTCGACATGGTGATTCCAACAGTCTTAATTCAAGTCGTTGTGGTGCAGGTGATGCAAATGAATTGGCTGTTACAGAGCATTTAATTCAGAGCATAAGATCTGCAGCTGGAAATGATTTTTGTGCAGACTGTGGTGCACCAGGTAAGGTTGATGTTTTTCATATGTACAACTTGTAGGTCCCGAATTTCTAGTTAAGTTAATCACTGTTTTGTATTGTGTATACTTGCGTGTGTATAGATATTAAATTTTTTTACGCAATTGATTACAGTAGAAAGAAGTTTTTTACACTCATTTTGCTCATAATATAATGAATTCATCGAATTAATCCGTTTCACAATTTTCCATAGTGGCCTAGATAAGTTTAAAAAAAACCAATGAAGTACTTACATAAACTAGTTTGTCTAGAATGTTATTTTACATTCCATTTCTCCTGTTTACTTTTAACAGTGTATCTTCGCTAGCTAAAAATACAAAAAATTCAGTGAAGAATCTCAAAACAAACGTGTCACTAATCGTACGTCGTATATTAAAATACGCGATTATTAGCCACCAGTCTTTATACAGTGGTAAAGAATGTTCTTGATATATTTATGAACTAACATGACTGAAAAGTATCATAAGTAATTGTATTCTTGCAGATCAGGACTAGTCCATATATAAGTGTTTGTATGTTAACTTGGTTTCTCATTCTTACAGTGCTTGAATAAGATTTTTTCGCTTGGCGTTATTTAGTTAGCTTGTAATAATTATGTCACGATCTTTTCACTTTATTTAAACAAAATATTTGTTTTTTCGACAGTTTTGGCTCATTAAGTCAGTCACTTGATTTATTGATTTAAACCCGAATCCATCTAGATATTGTTGTTAGCTATGTTGGCAGATGCAAACTAGCTGGTTGTGGTTTGTTTTGTTAATTTGACTAATGGTTGGATATGTTGTGTAATTTGACGTAGCTCAGAATTTCTCACATTGGTGTAAATCGGTTCACTCTTTATCTTCCCTTAAATGTTGCGGTTCAAAATTATTTTATACTTTTTATTTGAAGAATTCATTATTTCTTGTTGAATGATAATCCATCCCTAATCTTTTTTTATTGCTACCGATATCTCTTTGACTCTGACCATTATGGGTATTTACCTTAATAATTTCATTCCTCTGTGTACGGCCGAGAGCGGGGACAGTCCACTCTCCCTCTCGAAATGCTCTCACGAGGCCACTCGTATATAGCCTCTGCCAGGGAAATTCTACTCACTGCCTTCTCGTGGCGGGGTTGTTGTTTACGAAATTGAGAGGACGAAAAGCGAATGTCCGGCACTTTAACCGGGTTGATGAACACGGAGAGTTCACCTAGGGGAGTTGGAAAACCCTGATTCCAAAGCAGTGGTGCACATGAGCTCCACTACTCTGAGGGAATAAATGGCGTATGAACCAATTATTGGCCACCGACTACCATGGGACTGCATCTTCTTACGATGCTCTACTACCTTGTGGATCGGATCTATAGGTCAAAGGCTCCAGGTGTTGCTCCCTAAGAAAACCACCTGATTCGGTTTGGACACCCGGGCAGTATCATAGCCCTCACACAAATCAAATGAGATTTGTGTGACACATATTTATCTGGTGCCCCCTTGTACCAATATCTGTGTGTTCAAATAAATAAAATAAACTTGTCTGCCACGTGCCGATCCATATATATATATATATATATATATATATATATATATATATATATATATATATATATATAGCAAAATAGTTCCCTATACTTGCGATTGGGGAGAGTTACATGGCTGTTTTGCCGTTGAATTCTTTAGAAATTTAATGTCAGTTATTTTTTATGATGTACCTCTGAATAGCGATTTCTTTGAATATATACTATTTTAGCTTCTGTGGTTGTACGCCATTAACAAGTGAAGAGATACTTATACATTAGTTTTTAAGCTTTAAAAATTAAAGATATACAATATTTGATAATCCCTACAAGGAGTAAAAAATGCATTTAATACTAAGTTTGTGTGTATGTGTGTTTTGATTCAAATTGAAGTGTTAAATCCTTGTATTGAAAGTCAAGACATACTTTTCATTCTGTATACAACTCGTGAACTGAATATACCTGCATCCTAGTGTTGATGTTCTCACTGACACTTGAACCCAGTATTTTTGGCTTTAAACACTAAATCCATGTCCAGCCAGTCCACTCGGATCACATGTATGACAACACTAACTGATCAACTGTAATTGTGAATATCAACAGTGATAAAACAAACACAATTAGTACAAGTTTTCTTTGCTTGCGTACAGCTGCTACTCCTCGTTGGGTATAAGCTGCTGACCAGAGAACTTCAACCATTTCTATCTCGAGCTCTACTTTCTAGTTCTTATCAGGTGCTATCAATTCCTTTGATGCATTCCTCCAAGTCTAATAGTAAACTTAACGGCATCTCCCTTATTTTACCACATTTACTTCTCAGTTTATCTCACTATCTATCAATTAAAATCTCTATATATCTCGAATCTTGTATCTATTTTTATTCATTCTAGATTGACAAGAGTAACAGTATTTTACATACAATCATCTATTAATCTTTTAATGATCAATTTTAAGTTTATTTTTATTACTATTATTATTGGGTGTGATCTACTTGCATACATTCATGTAAAACTGGTTATTAGATATTCATTCATTATAAAACAGCTCGATCATTACTAGTATCATTCTTATTATTACTATTGATTAAAACAAAACAAAAATAGAAACCACTCAATTTTACTTTTTAACAAAAACCTTTTCTCTTTGTACATGTATGTATATATGTTTATTATTACTAAACCTTACATGTGTATACGTGAATGAACAATGAAAAACAGGGACAATACTTATTTAGTTTTGGTTCATTTAGTTTTATGCAAATTGTGCATGTTTGTTTTCTACAATCTTTCAATTATTGTGTTGTTTTTTTTATATGATCTATTCATATGTACAACCAATACAAATGCTACAATGTCAGTACACTTTCCATTCACTAATTATGTATATATATTGTCAGTAAAGAGGGGGTTGTGGAGATTGTTTAATTTCATTAGAATCATGAACCGATCCAATTTGACTACCATTGAAAGCCTAGAAGCGTTGCACCGAATTTTTGTTTCGTCCTGGTGTAGGACTCAGGCGTGAGCATCCACGATCATGAGCGGGACTCTAACCCAGAACTTTCTGTCCTGCGTACTAACGCTTAACGTCTAGACAACTGATTCCAGATCAAACCGTTCTAATGTCTAAATTCAATCAATCCACGGCACTGAGCGACCGTCCTGGGTTTGATTGCCGCGTGTAGGCTCGTAGATGCTCACTTCTGAGGAGTCCCACACTGCGACTACACGGCCGTCCAGTGCTTCTAAGTTTTCAATTATGGTCTAACTTAGATCGTCTAATGATATATATTTTCGATGTTTATATCATTTTTTGGATATTTTTAACTTCAATTCTTATCCATTCAGCATTCATAACAAGTTCTTGACTGGTAATCTGAACCATATTCATAGCTTCATGCTGCCTAGTTTGGGTTCGCACAATAACTTCGACCTGTGATTATGGATGTTAAGCAATGTGAATTAGAATCAATTAAGATGAGTCAGATATTGTAATCCTGTATCTTCTTTTAGATTTTGGGTTCTAGGATTCCTTCGGATATGCCTTCTCATTTCTTTTCTCTGGAACCACGTTCTCAATGTTTAGTCCTTATTATTGTCAGTACTACGATTATTGTAACTCCTTTGTTTTTTATCGTGTTAACTTCATCCTGTTATGCTTAGATTGTGTAGTAACATGATGAGCAACACACATTTCTGTCGCACTCTTTGTTGTTTATGACTATATCGTAGCACTTTGGAAACTATGGGAAATTATGAAGTGTATATTGTATGGACGTTGTGTTCTAGTTTGTGACTTCTCAGTTTTTGCACACAATCAATCCATTCAGTTTTCGTAACATTTGCCATACTTCTATATTAAAACCAGTTTTTGGGTATTTTCAACTTCAGTTCATGATATTACTTGTCTATCAATTGACTCACTCCTCATGACGTACAAGTGAATTTTTAACTCTTATTATTTAAAAAGTTCACCCAATAGCATATAGTCATTTTGTTGAAAATGGTATGAAACACTTATTATTCAATAAATTCTGAATTATTCTATTTTAGAACCAGATTGGGCAAGTCTTAATTTAGGCGCTATGGTTTGTATTAGTTGCAGTGGTATACATCGGCAACTTGGAACACATATTTCGCGCATACGTTCTTTACACTTAGATGAATGGTCTACTGAATCGGTCACTGTAATGAGTGCTATTGGTAATACATTAGCTAATTCTGTTTGGGAAGCTGCTGCACCTGTAAATGCTGGGAATCTACGGTAAATTTAATAATGACCATACATGATATGATAAGTTTTAGATATTTTGTTGAAATATTTCAGTATTTATTCTTAAAAGTAATTAGTTAACTACAATGATATTAACATTTACTTCATGTTATCAACATAACGTGATGTTTGAATTTTACTAGAGTCTTATCTTGTTAAATTAGTATAAGTTTCTTAGAATCTTCAGATGTTTATAATGTGTTACCATAGCATAGTCATCCATTTGTTCAATGGTTTTGTAATTCCTATGAAATTTTTCAATAATGAGCATTATTTTCTGAAGAATTAATAGGCTGTCATCTTTTAGCTTTTTATGAAACACCACCAATTGTACACTTCACACTTTTTTCGTAGTATAGTATATACTCACGTCGTCCTCAGAATTTGCATCTGATTTTGATTTTTGCAATACCTAATAATAACAATGAGCTGATGCACATCTCCATAGGATTCATTGGTCATTCAGAGAAATTTTTGTATGTCTTTAGAACCCTACGTTATTATCAAAGTCAACTGCTCATTCTAGGAGTACCAGTCTTGCGTACTATCATATCGTCTGTATACAGTTTTATGTTGATATATTTGTGTCCAAACATCAGTTGTATGTAGCTACTTTCTCATAAATGATTGTACTAGATGTTACTTATTGAGCAGAAGTGATTCGGATTTAGTTTTTAAAGTTTGTCGTTTTTGTTTTCTCCAACTGTCGCCATCTGTTATTATGACAAGACTTACACTTGACTATCAAACTGTATATTTTGAATACCTATTAAATTTATACATCTACTGCCTACCTCAACTTGGATTGCGTGACCATCAGATTGAATAGGTTGTACGGCAAGTATTATAAGTCAGATTTATACAAAATGATAAGTTGACTAAATTTACGAGTACCATTTTCTATGTCTTTAACTAACTTGTGGATCTTTTTATGTGTTAAGCTTATTACTTATATTAGGTTACTTAACAACTAATCAAGTGAGGGACTACTTTTCAATCGTATGTTGAAAAATTAAACTATCCTTGTATTGTTTTCTTTTTCAAATGTAATATATAAGCTTTTAACAACGACTTTATTTCCCCTATTTTTATAATAAGCTTACTTTTATTGTTATTAATCTGATGATTATCAGGAAACCAAATCCTTCAAGTTCACGAGAGGAAAAGGAAATTTGGATTCGAGCCAAATATCAACATCGAGAATTTCTGCCTCCATTACCCTATCCTGATGCTCCACTTCAACGACAGTTAATTGATGCAATAGCTCGTCAAGATACACGTCAAGTTATACTCTGTCTAGCTTTAGCTACACCTGAAACAGTCAATGCAGCTTATTCACTTCAAGATCCACGAGCAGCTATACACATTGCTGCTACTCTCGGAAATCTAGTTTATTTACAATTGCTTTTATGGGTAAGCTTTTTGTCCACAATGTGGTGATTAACTGCGAGTTTTCCCTGTAATAATTGTCGAAACCTCCCAGTTAGTAAATATAATTTAAAACGGTGTATTTTCAGGGGAATATAGGTAACAATTTGAAGGAAGACATGTTGAGGATAGTATTCTTCATTTAAGATTGACTTTCCGTCATAGTTGTAAACTGCAATTAGATTCAAGTAACATAGGACGTCCCAGGTTTTAAGCAGTGTAAAGAATGTAAAGTTATCATGGACGAACTGTCAAGGCTACAGTTCATTATCTCATCTAATGGATTCTCCATTTTACCTAATTCCAAGATTGTTCACATGATTATCCGAATTTTCTCTGTTACCTGTCGGATAAATGTTGGCTTTTTATCTTATTTATATTCGTCAAAGTAAATTTCCTCACTAAATGCACTGTTAGTCGTACAAGTACATGTATTTTAGTCGCACCATTTCAATTGTGAAATCTGTCAATTCTTTTCCATGCATATAGAAATTTCGTTAATTCCCTATCTAAACTATTAAATTAGATCACGTTTCACAGTAAGTGGTTCTAACATCGTATTTCTTTTATATTCCTCTCTAGTTACATCCATCGTTGATTACTATAACTCCACCAACATCAAACTAAAAGCCGACCCGAATGGATTTTTGTTGCACTAATTTGTGTGAACGATAAACATTAATTGTTGTGCTTCTTCCATACTGTTTCATCAGCGGTTTGCATATTACTACTACATGCATTGTGAGGTGGATTTGAAATGTTCACTTCACCAGTTCATTTAAAAATTGAACGAATAGTTTATTTTATTAGCACTGGGAATGTGTTGTATTTATAAATTTATTTAACTTTATACTAAGTTTATCTTTATTTCTTTTCATAAGTAGTTTGTTAACATATTTTCGCTTATGAATTTGTTAAACTCAGACTTGATTTTATTCTATTTCTCTTCATTAAAGTACAATGGTGATCCAACTGTGACAGATCATGAAGGAAGAAATGCATTCTATTACGCTCATTGTTCTAAAAATTATGATTGCGCTGATTTCCTGTTGCGAAATAGTTGTCCAAAACAACTGGTACCACCCATTCCTCCTAATAATATGCCTCCAACAATTCGTTCTTCACAAAATATTATGCCGCAACAAATTGTTCAGTCACATTCCATAATTCATGGACCTTCAACATCGACTGGGCTTTCATCTGGTGTTGCAGACATAAATATTAGTAATAGTATAAACTCAGGTCTTGTACAACCTCATCATTTTTCACATCTCCAACAACATCAGTCCTCTGCTGCTGTTGTCGCTTCTGAAGTAGGAACTCATTTAAGCGGACAATTACCTTCTTATCATCCCATGACCACTGGTTCTGTAACAGCAAATCAGCAACTATCTCAAGGTATTTGATTCAGTCTAAATTTTAGAGTTCTGTCAAAATATACACTTCTTTTTCCTATGCTTCCTATTTAGATTTTCCTGAAATTCAATACTAACATGAGAAATTACAAATCATTTTGTCAATATGTGTAAATGGAAAACTAGACTTGAAAAATTGGTAGATTCAGACTACTTGGTTAGGGTCCGCATCACTAACGTAGCCAATGTTTGGAGAATCTGGGTGATATGGCTCAGAATCGATCACATTGACGTCGGTGTATACACTATCTGTCTTCCCTCAACCTCTGAGATTAAAATCGCTTCATATCTTTCTTTTTACGAACTAATTCTTTCTTCCTGTAATATACCTTGATATGCAATCTTTCTTCTATATATTAACATCATTGAACTAACTACTTCTATAAATTTGGTGTTCATCTTATTGTGCTAATAAGGTATGGCAACTTGGACCGTTGCATATATGTGCTTGGTTCTACGTTGTAACTAACTGACTGATTGACTGACATATCATGATTATCAGTAACTGATTCGTGTATTACGCGTGTTAAGCTACTTTAATCGACAAAAGGTAGGGGATTTATTGATCGATTCACCGTCTTTATCTAGTACTCTTTACTTACATTCGTCTTCACTTATTTAATGGTTACACTTCACGTGAGCAATGTATCAAAGTGATTTAAGATAACGAAAAATAAACGACCTACACATTCTATAGTTCGTCATAATCATCTTGCTTAGAAGCTAAATTAATAATTCTTTTGGCTAATAAATATAATATGTTGTTTTTGTTTTTTCTTGTCTTCTGTTTACAAATCAAACCAATTTATTTCTTCATAACAGTCCTCGTTTATAGTTTTTTCTTATTATTTTCGTATAGGCGTAAAATTATTTCTACAGTTTACACCTTAATGGTTATTAGCCCTGACTAACCATGTATATATATATATATATATATATATATATATATACCGTTGGTTATTTCTTTAATGCGTAAAGCTTTTTTTTTCATAGTGCCGAAAAAACAAATTATCCTTTATTGTTGTAATCAAAGAATAAACTTATCTTTGTTGCTATCTTTTACCCCACCACTCATTCACTAGCTTATAATATCTTAACAATTTTTAACTGAAATATTGAAATCTGTCAGTTTTCGTTAATTATGCACAGAAGCATATCGTATTAATTTGTGCTTAATTATTGGATTAAAATAATCAATTTATTAGAATCTAGAAATACTTATGTACTTCTACCAGATAGTGATACTATCCAGGTGCCAAATTAGATAAAATAGGGTTTAGATTTACGGTAGATAAGGTGGTAATTGAATGTGCGTACATCGTTTAATTAGTATATCATAAAACATTGGTCTGAAATGTGTTCATCCACCGGTCTGTAATCCACATGTGTGCTTAACATAAGGGCAAACATTACTCTCTCTCTCCCTGTGTATGTCTAGACTTATGAAAATTGAATTGATTACGATGAAAAAGTCACTTATTGAAAACTAAATGCTTGGAATACTAGGCAGCATCTTATACACATTGGTTACTATTTTATTCATGTTTTTCTAATTGTTAAATTGATTTTTGTTTTTTAATGCTCAAGTTGTAGGATCAAATCATCCACTTGTATCAGCTTCTGGTAATATATATACAGGAAATGTGAATCAAGCTTTAGGCGCTACCCTTCCTCGTCGACGTGCCCCAATTGGTCCATTTCCTCCCGGTGCAGTACCTCCGACTCTCCAACCATTTCCACGACCAAATATACAACAGCAAATATCAGTTAGTAATACTCATCGACCTACCTCTTCAGTTATCCAGTCAGTTACTCGCCCTATAACTCCGAATGCTATGCTAAGAACATCCTTGGTTAGTTCATCACAACCGCCTCATACACGTTCAGCTTCAAATACTGCTGCTACACTGTCCCAACCATATGTTTCTACTACTCAAGAAGTTGGACTGTAAGCTTTATAACACCAAGTTTAATTCGTTATTTCCCATCTCCTCCAATTGATTTCTTTCTCTTCATTTTACATTGTAACAAATTGCATTTATTTCAGTGAATAAACGCTATTTAAATACAATTATACTGTAAACTTTTAAAGTTTGTCTTCACTCTTGCCCATCCCTCCTGGAAAAAGAACATTTCGTGCAATATTAATAATAAACCCATATTATTCATTTATAACATTGTCTTCCAGTGTACTAACATACTTTTAACTGCTTATCCCTCAGGACATATTCATGTCTGAAACTGTTTTTGTATGGACACTTTTACACAATTACTATTATTACTACTCATACAAATTGGCTTCCTATTGTGCTTTTTACTCTTTTTTTTTCAAAAAAAGAAAAACGAAATGGTACCATTATTATTTCTTAATCTTTTTTTCACTCTTATATTTTGCTTAAAACTAAGTGTATTTGTGCAAGATATGTAATTCAAGTTGAAATTAACTATACATCAAATTATATTTACTTCAGTTTGATTGCTCATATTATGCTGTATGTAAACATATACCTATGTCACTGTTTGTGTAGAGTTGTTTCTCTTCGTCCATTCTCTCTGTCTCTGTCTCTCTTTTTTTTTCTCCCACCCTTTAAATATATGTACATGGAATACAAAACCTAGGTAATTGATTGTTTTCTGAATATATTTACTATAATTATTTTAGTCTTTTATTTTGTCGTTTACAGACAATTAAAAAAAAAGATATTTCACGCCCTGGTTAATATAAATATCCCAGTAATAATCATTTTTTTAATAATAATAATAATTACTACTGAATAATACTACTTAATTGATTCAATGTACATTGGTTTTTTTGTTTATCATTTTGTGTGAATTGTTTGTTTTGTGTGTTTTTTTTTGAAAAAAAAATGTTTATTTGTACAGATATAATCTCTCTTCTATCATATTGTGTTCCATTCATTTGATTATGGAATGTACCTACATATGTATGTGTGTGTGTATGTGTCTGTGTAAATGTAGACGTTTTTATGCCCTGTCTGGTTATTTGGTTTAACCTTTCTATTGTAAGTAACCTTTATTTTATTTTCTTCATTATCATTATCATCATCATTCACTGTTCTTTTTTCTTCTGTTAAGTTGTGAATATGAGATTACTTGTGTTTCTATGATAATGTTGGTTTTAAAGTGTTGTTAACAGGTTATTCACTACTGAAATATATCTATTTACTCTACTGATTTAACATAAGACTTTTTTGTCTTGGTTCTTGTTTTTTTTTTGCGTTTTAATGTTCTATGTACGTTAAATAATTGTACTTGTCTGTTGGTTTGTTAGTTTGTTTTTTCGTTAAATAGTGGATGTACTCTTCTGAGTATTTATAATTTTTAGGATGAATAAAAATTAGGGTACATGATCTATTAGTTAGAGCATTTCACCGTTATTTTCATTACAAACAGCAGAGTAATAGTATCACAAATCTGTTTCAATATCCGTTGCATAATCATATACTTGGTTACCTAGTTATGTTCATTAACTGATGAATTGCATGTCCACCGATTGTATATCGTCAACTTCAGCATATAAGTAATGATATAACGGATGGTTCAAAATACTTTTCTTTCATGTTTGCTGCGATAATGAAACCAGTCATGTCATATCAGATCTATGATTCATGACCCAGAATAGAGAACCAGATTAACACTAGATACTACTTGATTTAACACAGTTATATGCCGTCGTACTCAGTGAAACTGTAGTAGAAGTCAATCATATATTTAAATCATCAGGATGTGTTTGTTTGTTCATGCTCCGTATCTAATGATATTTTACTTTCACTGCTACATATCAAGTGGATTGTTTTCTTTTGCCTATTCAGACTACAATGTGATCTCGATAAAAATAGTTATGCCTATTCTGATCATTGGGTTCATCATTATGGATTAGATAGTATTGCTTATTACTGAATGTGAAAACCTATACAAATTGTTGGAATCACATATGATGAATTTTTCCTTGGTTAAATCATTTATGCTAGTCAGAACAATTGTCTTGTCGAATTTCCTTCAGAATACTTTTCTGTTCACCAACTTTATTAAGTGATTATAACTTATGAATAGTCTATTTCTGATGTATTTTTCTGTCGTCATATTTGTTATTTTTTGTCAATATAAGTTAACAGTTTTAGGTTGGTCATTAGACGAATCAACAATTGAGTAGAATCCAGTTTTCCAATAGCTGATAACTAATGTATTTATCATTCCGAAGGTAAATTCATCCTCCGTTATTTTAATGTCTAACTTGGGTTGCTCCATGATCTTGCGCAACCGTTCATCTCTTGTTAGATAGATACCTGTCTCTATCCAACATGGATTGAACTCTACACTGTTGGATGCCGGCTCAAGGGTCTAGAGGTTGGGCGTTCGCGCGCTAGACCAAAGGTTCTGGTTCAAGTCCCACGTGCGGGATCATGGACACTCACTGTTGAGGAGTCCCCATACTAAGACTAATCGGTCGTCCAGGTTCTTAGTGGTGGTCTGGCGTAGATTGACTCATGAATGCCCTGGTACAGCCGTGTGTGGTGAGATTTATCCCTCCCTCTCCAATTGCCTTCACATGGCCGCGTACATACAGTCATTGCCAAGGAAGTCGTACTCACTGGCTTCTCGCTCCACGGATGTTACTTACGAAATTGAGAGGACGAAAAGCGAGTGTCCGGCGCTTTAACCGGGTTGGTGGATATAGAGTATCCACTTAGGTGAGTTGAAAATGGTGATACTATAATTTAAGGACGACCTTTGAGCGAATCTAGACTGAAGTTGAGTGTATTCAGTTATTAACTGCGACTAAACGAGGGTTAGAAATCTGTGTGAGGAATTAGAATTATGATTTACAGTTGATGGTTAAGGGTTAGGAATTAAATTTATGATTTTCATTACGAAACGTTATCAGCTATAATGCCAAAAATATCTAGCCAAGTGGATGAGTGAATTTCGCGCCAAAATCCAAGACCTGTTATCTTATACCTGATTGGTTCGTCCATAAATATTAGTCTCGCCGTTGGGAAGCCCTAATTCCAAATCACTGGTGCCCATGGGCTCCAAAATCCTGATGGAACAAATTGTTGGTTACCGGCTACCATGGGACTGTATCTCCTAACGTTGCTCCACTACCTTGTGGACCGGATCTTTCGATCGATAGCTTCCTAAAAAATCTACCTTCGGTTTGGGCACCCCGGCAGTATCACAGTTCATATGCAAATCAATGACATTTGTGGCACATATGTATTCGGTGCCCCTTTGTACCAATATTTATGTCAGATGGGTTTTGTGGAGATTGTAGTAATTTCAATGGTTAAGATCATGAGTCAGTTGAAGCTAGACCACCATGGAAAACCTGGAAGCACTGGACGGCCGTTTCGTCCTATTGTAGGACTCAGGAGTGCGCATTCACGACTTCGCCCCCTGCGAGATTCGAACCCAGGACCTACTGGTTTCGCGCGCGAGCACTTAACCACTAGACTACTGAGCCAGCATCCAACGGTGTTAATGTCTAACTTCAACTAATGGAAGTACAATATAGCAAATATGATTTTCTAAACTTATATCATGCATGGCTTACAACCAATTGTGAACTTATGTTTACTGTAGTCGATAGTGTTTAACCTATTTAACGTTAATATATATTGCATCGTTTTATTAACCCATTAAGTTGTCCGAAACTCAATGGATATTTCATATACCTTACCATATCTAAGACAGTGATTGCTTACTTACGCCTGTTACTCCAAATGGAGCATAGGCCACCGACCAGTATTCTCCAACCTACTCTGTCGTCGGTCTTCCTTTCTAGTTATATCCAATTGTTGTTCATTCTTCTCATATCTGTCTCCATTTCTCGAAGTAATGTATTCTTTGGTCTTCCTCCTCTCCTTTGGCCTTGAGGATTCCAAGTAAGGTTTTGCCTTGTGACACAGTTGGGTGCTTTCCTCAATGTATGTCCTATCCACTTCCAGCTCTTCTTCCTGATTTCTTCCTCCACTGGGATCTGGTTTGTTCTCCCCCATAGTAGGTTGTTGCTGATATTGTCCGGCCAACAGATCCGAAGTATTGTTTTGCGTAGACAACTGTTAACAAACACTTCTGGATGATGGATTTCATAGTTTTTCAGGATTCCGCTCCATACAATTGAACTGCCTTGACGTTTGTATTGAAAATTCTGACTTTGGTGTTTTTTGACAATCGTTTTGATTTCCAGATGTTCTTCAATTGTAAATATGCTGTTCTTGCTTTTCCGATCCACGCCTTCACACCTCCATTAAACCCACCATGTTCATCAATGATGCTACCCAGATATGCTAATATAAACTACTGATTAAAATACAATCTTCAAATATACAAATATTCAACTTGTTACTAATTAAAATTCAAAAAAATTCAAATAAAATGAACTAACCAATTTAAGAAAACCGATAGTTTGTCATAAAATATCCATTTCTAGATCTTACTCCCTGAATTATGTGCATGTGTACAAAAATGTACATGTAATTATCGTAAAGTATAAACAACAAGTTGATTAGCAATTCAGATTTTAAATAGTGTTAAAATAAATCGGGTTATTTAAGTAAGAACAAAATTATCGGGTGTATCAAATAGCAAAGGGAAACAACTCTTTTCTGTTGACTGACTCTATATTTATTGAATATAATTACTAATCGTTGACTGTTTATTTTAACAGTGAAATACTTAAGATTAGTTGAGCATCTTTTTATGAACAAGTGGGTCAGTTGTTAGATAGTAACTCACTGATGATAATGGTGGATTTGTCGCTCAGTTTCGTGGATTGGTTGAAGTCAAACATTAACACCGCTGGATACCGGCCAACTCAGTTGTTTAGTGATTAAGCACTCGCGCGTGAGACTGACAGGTCCTGGGTTCGAATATCACCAGGCGGGGTCGTGGGTGTGCACTGCTGAGGTGTCACACAATAAGACGAAACAGCCGTCCAGTGCTTCCAGGTTTTCTATGATGTTCCAGCTTTAATTGACTCATGATTTTAACTATTGAAATGGATGGATGTTTATAAATAACATTCTAAAGAGAATTAGAATAGACCTGTTGAACTGACTGCTTTTTGTCTAACTAGTTGTGGTAAGCGCTTGATATCGTAATGACAAATAACTGACTGCTAAATGTGTTAGGCAATATCTACATCGATAAAAAGTATTCGTTGATTTATCAAATCATTAGTTATTCAGCATAAATCGAAAACTAGGATATCACAAATGGGTTTAAAAGGCGATACGTGTTTGTACTATAACAACTATTACATCAAGAACAATGTAAGAGCTTAAAAATTGCCAAAGTGAGCAATATAAAGGAAACTAAAAAAAGCTAGAATGGAAGCTGCATACAGTCACAACATTAATAACTTAATGACCTTAAATAAACCTCATGACCGTCTGGGTCATTTTTAAAACCTGGGAGGTAAATGATTTCAAGATAGACTAAATAAACTGGAAAGTTATAGTAATTCCAACGTCTTGCGATAAAAGAAGTGACATATGTGGTTATAAGTGGAAGAGTTTGTAAAACATAACACTTAGAGAGGATCGAATAACTTTGTCAATATAAGTTATGACTCTTCAACAGTCTGAAATCGTGAAGGACCAACTCACCTACCTGTAAGTCTCATAGGAAGCGTGTGTCGCTTGGACCACCGAAATAGGACTCAATGATTTACATGTTCACAATGTATCAAGAAAGCCATCACTGTCACAAGTGGTTAATATTTGCACATTTGTTAAAACGCTCGGTTTCACTTCGTCTAATGTTATAACGGTTGGGTTTCCACTTTTACATGTATGGGACGTTAATTTACCTTAAACGATTATCTACACTAGATTCTCTCCCAGTGTCTATTCTATAGGACGTCAACACAACTCAGATCAAGACCACGTGATTAGCCTGACCACAACGTAAATATATTTCTACACCAAAACCCGACACAATTCAAAATCAATGAACAATAATAAGTGAGTGAGTAATAATAATAAAGATAGGGGAATAAATAACTCATCTGACAACTGTCAGACTATCTATATGTCTGACTAAGCAGACAACCAGTCATTATCATTCTCGCCCACACATCAACTTTCTATATGGTTGAATTTCGCCAGTCACTGATTATTTTATGCGTGCTCATTATTAAGGAGTTCTATACTAGGACGAAACAGTTATCTAGTCCTTTCTGGTTGTCAGTAGATTATCCACGGTTATCGAGCAGGATAAAAACTCTCTCTTCATTTAAAATATTTCCTAACAACCTTACAAAAAACTTTTGGTTTTGTTGTCTCATGCGAAATGCAGTAGATCCTGGATATCTAGTTTTGGGCTCCTACATTTACTCATGTAGCT